CCTGAGGCGGGGAGGGGGAGGAAGGCAGGGCCCGGGCGGGCGGCTACTTGGCCGGACCCGCCCCTCGCCGGGCGCGGTCCGGTCCCTTTGCGCGGCGGCGGCGGCGGCGGCTCAGTGCTTGGGCGGTGGCGGCGATGCTGTCGTGCATGTCGACGGCGCTGGCGGGGCTGCTGCTGCTGCCGCTGCTGGTGAGCCTGGCGTGCTCCTACTTCTTCCAGGACCTGGGCTTCTTCCTGCGCCTGGTGCAGGTCTCGCAGCGGGCCCGCCGGGCCGGGGCCCGCGTCCCGCCGCGCACTCTGCTGGAGGTCTTCCGCCGGCGGGCAAGGCGCACGCCGGGCAAGGCGCTGCTGCTCTACCGGGACGAGGTGCACACCTACGAGCAGGTGGACCGGCGCAGCAACCAGGCGGCGCGAGCCCTGCGGGAGGGCGCCGGCTTGCGGCAGGGCGACGCCGCGGCCCTCTTCCTGGGCAACCAGCCGGCCTACGTCTGGCTGTGGCTGGGCTGCGCCAAGCTGGGCTGCTCGCTGGCCTGCCTCAACTGCAACATCCGCGCCCGGTCCTTGGTGCATTGCTTCCAGTGCAGCGGCGCCAAGGTGCTCCTGGCCGACCCAGGTGAGAGAGACGCCCCCGCCCCGACCAGCCCTCCCCACCCCCCCGCCGAGGCGCCATCCGAAGCCCCTCAGGCCAAGGGGGCTCCTTGGGATTGCACCCTTGGACGTGGAAGGTGGTCTGCCTTCAGTGGGGGGCTTACTTCCAAGTCAGCCCACATAAGATTTGCAACTTCGGGCTGGAGGCAGGGGGTGGTTTTTGGGCAGCGAATGGGACATCCTTTGGAAGAGGCCTGGTGGTCAGTTGCCCGCCCTTTTACCTTGTGTAGCAGGAGACAGCACGATTCTCAATGCACACATTTGCCATTTTGGGTGATAAGGACAATGTGCACACTTTCCAGCTTCAACATAGAAGAATGGTCCCCGTCAGAAATCTGGGCTTCCAGTCACAGGTACCAAACCCAGGAAATACTCTCACTGGCTTATTTACGCAAAATGGCAAACAAACATATTAAGAAGACTGTGCATAACATCTGCTGCCAGGATACAAGGTAGTTGTACTGTGCCAAAATAACAACAACCAAAAAAGGTCTTCCATTCCATTTTTATCTCCTGCCAAACGGATGTTGCACATTTTTTGACTGAATCACAAGGCTTCAAAACCCACTGGGAAACAAAACCACTTCCAGCGCTCTCTTATGACTGTCCGCAGCCGTGGAGGTTACAAGAAGGGCTGATGCCTGTTTTCTGCCAGGAATCCAAAGTTTGTTTTAGATGAGCAACCATGTTAGTCTCTTTTAGGGAAAATGACTAAGAAGCTTGCAGCACCATGTTCCATATTTGATTAAATGGCCTTGTGAAGTACCACATGAACCTCTGGTGTTTTGGCGTGGTCTTGCAGGTTTAATAACGGTACACTAAGCTGCAGCTCTCCATTGTAGCAGGCATGCACTGATGGTAGAAAGCATTTCCTGTTGCATATCTGTCATTTACTCTGATAGTATGACATGCAGCCCAAACCTTGTAATTTACAGCTATTAGAAGCGTGGGAGGCTTGCTAGGGAGCAGAAACACCAGTACAAAATTCTTGACAGAGCTGTCACTTTTTTGGCTGGCTGTGCTCCTCTGCCTCTAATGTCACCCCACTTTGGACCAGCCTGGTACCCTTTCCCTGCAACTAAAAAATCTCCCTGGTGAACTGGGAGGGATTTGAAACAGTTTGGGAAATCGCTAAATGCAAGATTGGTGAAAGGTCTGTGCCAAATTGGAATACGCCATAGAGCCTGTTTGCCGGCCTCGAAGATGGCGATGAAGAAGGCGTTCTTCTCCGCATTAGCAGAATCTCATCCAGCTGAATTCTTTAGAGTGGCTCAGTATCTCTTAACACCTAGATCTGACCCATACATCTCAACCAATTGCCATGACATTTTTGCAAGATTCTCAGCTCATAAAATCTCTCATTGTAACGTTCAGTTCAGACTGGTAATGCATATGTAGATTCGGCCTACATTTAAAGTAGATCCGTTGTCGGAAGTGTCATTTCAAAGACTGTTCTCCCTGCTGGATGACAGAGATCTTGCAGAGGCTACCACTTGCAAAGAAGCTTGTCCTTCTTGGCTGTTGAGATCTTGCTGGGGCACGATAAGAGCTCCCTTGGTCTTTCTTGTTCTGACTCTGAGAGTTTCCGGGGGGGGGGCTGAGACTATTATCTCAATTTAAGCTCTAGTATTCCCCAGTGTTCTGTGTTGTCACTTTAATTTCTTAATATTTATATCAGGTTACTGTCTGAGATCATCAGAAACTTCATCTCCCACTTCATCGGTGGATTTTAATATAGATGACAAATCTCTGGAATACAATCTGAACTTGCTTAAAAAGTCTGAATGGTGCGAATCCACTTATTGCAGCTGAAGACCTGGGTTTGGGTCTATTTTTTGCTATTCCTTTGAATTGCTACTGGGCTCCTGTGTATTTTTTACTCTGATAGTATGACATGCAGCCAAAACCTTGTCCATTTACTTAGAATGTGCTATAATGATGATCAGTTGGAACTTAGTTGTTGGCTTTGAAGGAATCAAGGTGTAAAGGGAGCGGACAGAAGTCACTGCCCCCCTCTCCCAAAAACTGTGTCCTTAAGCTTTCAGACTGTGCGGTTGGATACAATCCCAGATATTTACTGGAGGGAGGGTCCAGCCCTTTCCAGTGTAAGCATACTGATGTTCATGCATGACAGGTTGATTTAAAAACAAAAATCAACAGCATGGTGGCTGCATTTATTACAATACAACCCAATTGAATTCCATTCTGCCAACACACAAACCAATTCCCATTACAATTGCTCATGGTGGTGGGGGCTCTTTCCCCCAGGCTGGCCACAGGCCTCATTTTGACAGCAGGGATCAAAGAGGGATGGGGCCAGGTTTTAATATCAACTCCCCCCCCCCCATGTCACTTAGCTGCACCACTATGGGAGATTATCAGGAGGAGGCATGCTCCATTGGCCCCATATAAATCTTGCTCCCTAGTATAACTTGGGGGGGATGCTATTTTCTCCAGTCTCTTAGTGTCTCATAAGGGCAGTAGAAATCGTAGCAGGGATACACAAGGTTATCTGCCACTCCATGGCCAGGGGATGAGCAGGGGCACATTGGACATCGAACCCTGTTGTATTGTTTTAATCCACTGTAAACTGCACTGGAGATTATTTAATCTCTCAGTAAACTTTTGGAATAAATAAATACAATCAGGGTGGTTGTTTCTTTAAGTATTCTGAAATGATTAAAAGTTGTCGGTAACTAATTAGAAAAAAAATTACAACCTGAACTTTATAGTGATCTGGCGGTAATGATTAAAATAGGTGCACAGACAAAAGGGACCAATTCTTCCATGTTAACCATTTACTTGGCATGTACTGAATGCACTTTAAACTTTACCCTGTATTTTCTTCTTATTCTGGGTCATAAGTATAAAAGAGATCTTGTGGCTCACTGATAGAGCATCTAATTTGCATGCAGAAAGTCACAAATTCAATCCCCAGCCCCATCAATTAAAAGCAACAGGTAGTAGGTGATGTGAAAGTTCTCTGTGCAAGACTGTGGAGAGCCCCTAACAATTAGACAATACAGACCTTGGTGGCATAAGGCAGCTTCATGTGTACTTGAGTCCTAACTGGAAATGCCAGAAGTTGAACCTGGGACCTTCTGTCCTTGTCTTTATAGGTGTTTAAGTTTGGGCTGTTAGAAACTCAACAGCTTTGCAAGGTTATAGGTAAGGCTTCAGTATATCAGCAGTCCCTCCTCTTTTGGAAGGCATTGCCAAAAGAGAACAATGCCCACAGTGGCTTTTTGGCATCCTTTCATGAATGCTTCTGCAAGAGAAGACATACGACTTACAGAGACTGTTTAGTGCCATTATGTGAGCCTTTAAGAAAGTGATGCGTGAAAGAACAAGGAAATTCCCTAGGATATTGAATCACCCTCCCTTTGGAAACAGCTCAGCTTACTTATGCCTTCATAAAGGGGGAATGGGGAAAGAAAATACCATAATGAACAGTCTTACCATGGCCCTTTTGGCAACAAAGAAAGCTAAGTGTTGTATAATTTTTAATCGTTAGAGTATACAGAGGTTAGTGTCGTTCCCAAATGCACCACTGAAATAAGTAATCTACCATTACGTTTCTTTGTAGTGTGTAGTTTAACTTGATGGTGTTGCAAAATATTTGTGAATGGAAGCTCAAGATATTGCCATGGAGCCTGTTATGTCCAGGTGGCTCTAGCGTGATGAGGCAGGAGGCTGTTCTCTCATCCCCAGGCTTAGAGACTACAGCCACTCTCCTATCTGACTTAACTGTTTTCTTTATTCATTACATGATTGTGTTGAGCCACCATTGTGTGAATGCACCATACCTCTTGGAACAAAAAAGGTGAGCTAAGGGTGGTGAGATGTAGGGCTGCCAACCTCCAGGTGTGGTCTGGAGATCTGGAATTACAACTCATCTCCAGATGAAACAGATCAGTTCTCTCAGAGAAAATGGCAGCTTTGGGGAGTGGAATGTGTGGTATCGCATCCCAGCTGCTCTCCCTCCAATCCCCAGACTCCACCCCAAATCTCCAGGAATTTTCCAAACTGGAGTTGGTAACCCTAAATACAAGTATTATTTGTGCAAGCATTTTGTGATTAGCAGTAAGCAGGAGGCTAAGCTGAATCTTTAATAACTGGTCTTGGGGAAAATGTGTAATTGTTTTTTATGATGGCTTTTTGCAGTGTTGAGTAGGCTAAAAATCCCAGTTCTCTCTGTAGAGACCCATGAGGACTACACCCGGTGTAAGCCAACATGAATGGACAGTGAAGGAGGGGGGCGGAGGGACAGGGCGTGGGAAGAAATGAACAATGCAAAGCACTTTATAAGCTTCCACTGTGGTGTTTAAAGCACTTGTGCAAGGGTCAGAGGTGTGTGTACAGCTTGTGCCTCTCCCTTTTCAAGTTCCTTCCAATGTTCCTTCAGATGTCACAGAACATCAAAATGCAGGGCCCTTGCATGTCCCCTTTGAACATTCAAAGTTGTCTTGTCTCAAAGGACACAATCTTCAGAGCAGTGCCCCCACCCGTATCTTCCTCAAATCAGGAGATGTATTTATTTATATTTTATTTTATTGGACTTGTATCCTGCCCTCCCTGCAAGCAGGCTCAGGGCAGGTTCCAACAATATTCATTTGGAATACTGTGTGCAATTCTGGTCACCACACCTTAAAAAGGATATTATAGCTTTGGGAAAAGTGCAGAAAAGGGCAACTCGAATGATAAAAGGGTTGGAACATTTCCCCTATGAGGAAAGGTTAAAGCCCTTAGGGCTCTTTAGCTTGGAGAAACGACGACTGAGGGGTGACATGCTTGAGGTTTATAAGATTATGCATGGGAAAGAGCAGGTAGAGAAAGAGGTACTTTTCTCCCTTTCTCACAATACAAGAACTCGTGGGCACTCCATGAAACTGCTGAGTGGTCGGGTTAGAACGGATAAAAGGAAGTATTTCTTCACCCAAAGAGTGATTGACACATGGAATTCACTGCCACAGGAAGTGGTGGCGGCTACAAGCATGGACGGCTTCAAGAGGGAATTAGATAAGCATATGGAGCCACAAGGTATAGATAGGGGCTCTGGGGCAAGTGATGCTCTGTCTTCTTGGTGCTTGGGGGGGCAACAGTGGGAGGGCTTCTAATGTCCTGGCCCCACTGCTGGACCTCCTGATGGCACCTGGTATTTCTGGCCACTGTGAGACACAGAGTGTTGGACTGGATGGGCCTTTGGCCTGATCCAACATTGGCATCTCTTATGTTCTTATGGCGTGCTTTGTGCAGTGTGCTCATTGTACCTGCCTTGCAGTTTGTCCTGGGCCTGCTTTGTGCCTTTTAACAGACGATTTCTCTCCTACTGGAATGAATCCGTACACCCCTCACATAAGGAAGGAAATGGTAGCTCAGTGATAAAACCTGTGCCTCACATGGTCCCAGGTTCAGTCAACTGGATTCTCCAGTTAAAACCATCTTGGGTGGCGGAGCTGGGAAAGACCCTTTACCTCTATCCTAGGTTGCTTCCACATGGATTTGCTCTACCGTGGCTCTCATGCTGGAGCATTTTCCCCTCAGAGCATCCACTTGAAGTTGTCTTCCATTTGTCCGCTTTTCAGGATTTCCCCTTTTGCCCTGATGTTTCCCAGGCCTGCTTTGGTATGATCTTTCCTGAAAGATCGCAGTCCAGGCATGTTTGCACGCTTTGTGGATGGGAAGGTGTGGATTTTGGGGCTTCCCACCAGCGTTGACACTAATCTGCTATTACCTCCCTGAATGGCTTTTTTGCTGTTTTTTTTTTTTTTTAATCAGTATTCACTATATTACTATATATGGCAGATTCAGAGGTCTCTGGGCTGAAGTAACAGACTTCAGAGTTTTGCAAAAGAGTTGTGCAGAGCACAGCAAAATCTTCTCAAAATGATGCATGATGGAACAAAAATTAGTGGCCTTTATTCCCCTTTGAAATCTTACTGCCTCTCTCCTTAAAGAACTAAAAACAGCTATTGAAGAAGTCCTGCCAACCCTGAAGGAAGAAAATGTGGCTGTTTATTACTTAAGTAGGACCTCTGACACTGAGGGAGTCGACAGTTTCCTTGACAAAGTGGATGCTTCGTCAGATGAACCTATCCCGCCATCTTGGAGATCAAATGTCACTTTTAAAAGTCCTGCTTTGTATATTTATACTTCTGGAACCACAGGTATAGTAAAAACATATAAATGGAACAGATCCAGGCTGGTTTTAATCTATTACTTACTTGATTTTTTAGTATGAATCAACAAGGAAATTTAATTGTCATATTGCAAAACCTCAGTGAAAATTGCATTTTTGAAGGAAAGGCCCAGTTGCTTTTAAGTATCGCAGTTTTCAGTGCACAACTGGCTGTAGTGTCTTGTACAACTCAGCATAAATATCATCCTAATTTTTAAACAAAAGCAAAGTGGTTGCCAGGGGTGGGTGGGTTTACAGATGTTGGTCAAGTAGCCAGAAAGAGAGTTTATCTAAGGGAAACCATTCTAAAAATCAGAATCTGTCTCAGAATGAGCCCCTTTTTCCTGTTTAGGAGCAAAAATGGTGTAGTGGTTAAGTGCGCGGACTCTAATCTGGGAGAACCGGGTTTGATTCCCCACTCCTCCACTTGCACCTGGCTGGATGGCCTTGGGCAAGCCATAGTTCTGATAACAGCTGTTCTTGAAAAAGAGCAGTTTCTGTCAAGAGCTCTCTTCGCCCCACCTACCTCACAGGGTGTCTGTTGTGGGGAGGGGAAGGGGAAGGAGTCTGTAAGCCACTCTGAGACACCTTTGGGTAGTGACGGGCGGGGTATAAATCCAATCTCTTCTCTTCTTCTCTTCCAGCTAACAGGTTTTTTTAAACAATTATTCTGATATAGGCTTTTGTGACTGCAGCCCGCTGCATCGTCTGACAAATTCTTTAATGAGAAGATGGAAGACAGTTTTTTCTGAAAGATTCTATTCTTCTACTGCTGGTCTCTCCTTGTAAGGCACAGCTCCTGGGGAGTGTTGGAGTCATGACTGTTGTTAGACTTTAAGGTGCTGCTAGACTAGTTTTAGAAGACAGGTGCCTGGGTAGCCTGCACCGTGCCCCAAGATCTGCAGCACACTGAAAACAATCAGCAGATGGCTCTGTGTGGCCAAGAGGATTCCCCTGAAGGAGGAAAGTACAAGATCGACTGTTCTAGCTCTCTGCGCATGGCTTCCTGTATATCTATAAGACTGCAAAATGCTGCATAATTTTTGTTCATGACATATAGGCCATTAATGAATTCTGTTTTGCTTTCACACAGGTCTTCCCAAAGCTGCACTGATTACCCACGAGCGCACTCTGTTAGCTTGTGGACTGATTATTGCCAGTGGTGTTACATCTGAGGATATCATCTATACTGCTCTGCCATTGTATCACAGTGCTGCCCTCTTGATAGGTGTACACGGCTGCATCATGCAAGGTATCACTGCCTTGAACCACAAGGAAAGGAGGGATATAAATGTTTTAATGAATAGATATTTTAATAAATGAATGGTACAAATAACATGACTAGGTTGTAGAATGAACGAGCTGTAACAGACCTGCTCTGTGGAAAGCCAGCTGAACAGGGGATGGTTGTAGCTTGGTTGTAGAGCACCTGCTTAATAGGCAGAAGGTCCCAGGTTCAATCCCCAGTAGGGATGGGCATGAGCCAGTTCATGAGCCAAATTTCGACATGAACTTGGCCCAGTTTGTAGCCCCTGAACTGACATTTGTGGAAGGCTCCTTCCATAAACATTTACCAGACTTTTGTGTGGTTCAGTTTGGCTGTTAGGGCCATTTCAGCCTAGCAGCGAAAGGGTGCACCTGCCCCACTGTTCGGCTGAAATGGCTGCCAGCCATTTAAACCTAACAGCTGGGTGGGTCCACCGGTCTGCTGTTAAGTTTAAATGCCTGCCAGCCATTAAACCTGTCTATTTGCCCCCCCTTCAAAGCAGGGGGAAGTGAAATGGACAAATGGTTGCCAGCCTTTTACGCCTTCCTGTGCAGTCCCCCCACCCCGTTTCTTCCATCCACGGCTTGGGGATCCAAACTGGCCGCTTTGGTTCATGCCTTTTTGGTGGTTTTGGTTTAGGGTTCAGTTTGGGACTGCCCCGAACTGAACTGGGGGTTTGGGGTTCGTGCCCATCCCTAATCCCCACCATCTCTAGTTAACAAAGCCCAAGTAGTTCTATGGGATTCATAGCTCACATAGCATCTATGTATAGGTGATCGGATTTAGTTCTAACTTAGTTTGTTATGACTGTTGATGTATGTTGTAAAAATCTGTATTGATGACTAACTGGTTGGTTTGTAATTGGGTTTTGGGTTTTCAGGACAGTTGTATACTGTTTTGCAGTTATTATATTTCTTGATATGTTATACTTTAACAGGTTAAAAAAACAAAAAAACCCAAAGCCCAAGTAGCAGTTGTTGTCTACATGAGCACTCAGCAATATGTTTGGGATGGTCAATCGTAGTCACGGGGACAACCATGTATGCTACTCTGAACTTGGATGATGGGAAAGGTAAACATACAGTGCAACCCTATGTGGAGTTTATCCAGTCTAAACTGACTGATTTCAGTGCTCTTAAACTGATTGTTTTCAGTGCTCTTAAACTGAAGTAACTTTGCATAGAATTGCACTGTTGGAATTCTACCCTTTCCCCCTATATATAATTTTATAGATTGACCGTTTTCAGGAAGGGGGCAGACCTTCAGGGTTAAATGCATACTGTCATCAAAGCAGGTTTCTAAAATCTACATTTTAAAATGATTTTGATAGTTTTCCAGTTGACATACGTTAGAGTTCAACTCTACCTTCTCCCTTATTTACAGGTGCCACTCTTGCACTGCGTTCTAAATTTTCTGCTTCACAATTTTGGGACGACTGCAGGAAATACAACGTCACTGTCATACAGTATATTGGCGAAGTGCTTCGGTATCTGTGCAATGTACCCAAGGTAACATCTTTCACTGGACTCTTTTCTTGTGATGATCATTATTAATGCTTTTTATTTGGCAAGATTGACTTTTGAATAATGTATCTGAATCCTTGTATGAATGTTTAAGATCTTCTGTTTCTCAGAAGGAGGAACTAGGTCTGTCTTTGTAACATCTCCTCCACCTCATGCCTTGCTACTGTGAATCTAAAAGCATCAACCCTACAGATGTACACTACTGTGCATCTGATGTAGTGAGCTCTGACTCATCAAAGCTTATGCAGGAATAAATGCCATTAGTCTTTAAAGTGTCACTGGACTGTTTAGTTTGGTCTAAGAAAGAATCTGGACCGAGATCATCCTTTGAGTTTGTGTTCCAGCAGTATTGAGCTGCAAAAATGGGGGAACAGCAGAAGAAGAAAAAGTATGTAAAACAGCTGGCGCTAGCTTTGTGATTTAAAAAGGAATTAATGCAACACACTAAAATGGATGGTGAACCTGCCATATATATACAACTACAAACTTAATAAGCTTTCAGAATCACAGAATCATAGAGTTGGAAGGGACCTCCAGGGTCATCTAGTCTAACCCCCTGCACAATGCAGGAAATTCACAAATACCTGCCCCTCCACACCCGCAGTAACTGCTATTCCATGCCCAGAAGACGACAAAAAATAAAAACCCTTCAGGATACCTGGCCAAACTGGCCTGGAGAAAAATTGCTTCCTAACCCCAACGTGGCAATCAGCATTTCCTTGGGTATGTAAGAAAGGACTCCTTTTGAACAGTTTGTACAGTATCATTCTAACAGTTAGGGAGGCCCCTACACATCTATAATTTCACAAAATATGCAAAATTGAAATGTTCAGAAGGACATTTTTTTAAAAGGATTAGAATTGTAGGATAATGGAATAGCTCAGGAGGTGGCCTTTATAAGGAAATCGGTTTGCAGTCTTTTGGAATGGTTACAGTGTGGATGCCTTTTACAGCACTGTAACCCACTTCCTGCATTACAGCATGTCATGTCTTAAACAGGTTTTTCTTCACATTGTTTCCCACTTTTGTAATCCTAATCTTTATTGCATAGTATATGAGATACCTTGTACTGTCTGATTGAATTATTTTCTAGATTTTGTTGTTTGCCTTGAGTCTAAAGGCCAAACTAGACATGAGGGCATCCATGGATCTGATGGGGAGGGGCTGTTTTGGCACGTGAAAAACTGGAAGGGGGGGACCAGGGGTCTTCATCCTGCCACACTGTGAGTCCAGTCAGGATCAGGCCCTCACGTTGTTTTTTAATTGCTTTAGGCTTTAAAATGGTGGCGGCATCCGTGGGAAAGATCCATCTAATTTGCCCCTCAGTGAGAAAGGCGGGCTATAAATGATACAATAATACAATAAAAAATAGAACAATAAATAGAATAAAATAAATAATTGCTGCTTCCAATGCACTGTAAAAATGCTTGAGTGCTTTGGGGCCCAAGATTCCTGACAGTGCCATGCAAGTGAGAAGTTCTAGCTGGAAGGCTACAAGACAAGAGAAACTATTGTTCCTAATCTTTTTGACATTCATTGTGTTGCATCTTGGCTCCTTCTGTTTATCATGGAGCAATCTGGTATAATTTGGAGATTTAGAATACTGAGAATTTTGCTATCTTAGAGCATTTTTGTGTTTTTACGGTGGCTCGGAAATGTGGACATTTTGGAATGATGATGTTATCAGTGGTTGATGAAGGAACTGTTTGACTGAAACCAAACCTGCATGACAGGCCACCAAGCCATCTGGAATTTCAGGAGCTCAGTGAACTTCCTGATCACAGTGCCTACCAAAGACTGCAGAAAGAACCAGGAGCAGGGGTTATTGAGCACCCGGCAGACCACCGTCTGGGTGGTGGGCTGCATTTGGCTTGGATTAAGTGTAAACCCCGGGATTCAGAAGAGCCCGGGGCCAGGCTGATCGTGAGAGGCACTGTGTCTCCCACACCTTCCAGGACGGTCCCAAGTTAGGGAAGGTGCGCAAAGAGTGGGAAGACGACCCAGCGACTGAGAAGACCCAGTCCAGCCTACAGTCTGACATAAAAGAGTTGAAGGAAGGGTTCCAATACCTGGTGAAGAATCTACCCAAACTAGTGAAGGAGTTGATGGAAAAGAAGATTTCCAAGACCTCCAAGGAGGAAGAGGGCAGAGATGAGGCCAAGCAGCTGCCCCAACCGCCCCGCAAGGTCGGAATGGAGCGCGAGAGGCCCCAAGATGCCCTGGAAGCCACTTTTGATGGTAGCCCCGTGAAGCTGGCATTCTTCGCGATCCAGGTGCAGAAGATGCTATGGGAGTGGGGCCACACCTTTGCGTCGGATGAGCAGAGTGTGGATTTTGTGGGCTCCCAGCTGCGTGAGAGGGCCATTGACTGGTTCGTAGGCCTTTATAATGTAGTAGCCCCGGTGTCCGGTCCCCCTCACAGCGATTAATCCAATACACGTTTAAGCAAAGTAGTATTTTATTAAAGCCATGATAGAGCAGGAACAAGTTCACTGTCCAGAATGCCTGGGCCAGGGGGGCATGGAATAATGTAATACATTCAAACAGGGTAATGACCAATAAACTCCATTCCCGCCGAGCGGGCAACCTTCAGGGTACGTGCTAAAAAGCCTGAGAAGCAACGGTCCCTATAACCAAAACAATTACAGCTTCACACGGTGCAGTTCATTATACAGTTAGCAAAGCAACTCTCCCCACACCCCTGTTAATCTTGCTGATAAGCGTTGCCTAGCGTTTACAGACAGGAATGCATGAGACACAGGGGGAGGGGAGGGCATGCGCAGATGCCCGGCGCACGAGAGAGGGGGGGGGAACCAACAGCTTCCCCATCTTCTATGGCAGCTAGCTGACATTCTGCCCCCTCAAAAGAAAATCCCACCCGTCTCCCGGTCAGGGCGGGAGTCCTCCCGGTTTCCCCGGGAACCTCTTGTGAAAGCTCTTGAGCATGTAAGGGGTCCTAATATCCCCTTCTTCCATCCATTCCTGGTACTGGGGTCCGAAATCAGCCCATTCAACCAAATAGTAGAGCTTCCCACGTTTCACTTTAGAGTCCAGAATGTCGGCAATCTCGTAGTGCGCCTTGCCATCCACCAAAACGGGGGGGGTGGAGGATGCTGCTGGCGCCAGCTGCAAGACCCATTGTTCTTTTTAAGGAGGCTGAAATGAAACACAGAATGCAGAGATCTTAGGTTCTTAGGAAGTTCAACATCCACAGCCACCTCATTCGTCACCTTACGTACTTTAAACGGACCAATGTATTTCCATCCCAGTTTTCGACTTGGTCTTAGCATGTTAATGTTCTTAGTGGACACATACACATAATCTCCAGGCCGCAGAGCCCAACCCGCCACCCTCCCTCTATTGGTCTGTTTCTTATATGCAGCCTTGGCTGCATTCAACGTTCTCCACAGCAATGGCCAGGCACGTTGCAGAGTTTCACACCATGTAGAAGCCTCGCCAGGGTGCTCCACGCTGTGCCCCTCCAGGAACGGCATAGGGGGGCTGTCGTAACCAAACGCTGCCTTGTAGGGGGACATGCCAATGGATGCATGACACGTGTTGTTGTAACAATATTCAGCCAAAGGCAACAACTCACACCAGTCATCTTGTTGATAGTTCGTAAAACAACGCAAATATTGTTCCAGCGTTTGGTTCCCCCGCTCAGTTTGCCCATCAGTTTCCGGGTGGTAGGCACTACTGAGACCCCGTTCCACCCCCATAATCTCCATCAGTTCCTTCCAGAACTTGGAAACAAACTGTGTCCCCCTGTCGGATATGACCTTATTAGGCAAGAGATGGAGACGGACAATGTTGTTGAAGAAAGCCTTGGCCAAAGCTTTTGCCATGGGGAGGGAGGGAAAAGCGAGAAAGTGTGCCTGTTTGGAGAACAGGTCAACTACCACCCAAATAATTGTTTTATTTTTGCTTGGTGGTAGATCTGTAATAAAATCCATGGAAATGACCTCCCAGGGTCTGGAGGGAAGGGTTGCAACAGTCCCGGAGGTTCCTCCCCCCTCGGTTTCGTCATGGCACATTGTTGGCAGGTCTGCACAAACTCCGTCAAATCCTTTCGCATGTGTGGCCACCAAAACTGGCGTTTTAGCAATTGCAGAGACTTAACAAATCCCGAGTGGCCTGCCAATTTCGAACCGTGCGCTGCTTCTAAGACTTCCCGTCGCAGCGAAATGGGCACGTATAGTTTACCCTCTGAATACCAATGCCCATCCTCTCCCTGGTAGCAAGAGTCAATCCCCTTCACAATAGCTAGGTCGGTAGGCGAGAACCCCTCCCGCCATGAGCGTAGCTTGGGCGTCTTGAAGGCGGTTGTGGGAGGGGAGTTGGGCTGGTCAGCTGCGAGGGGGGGAGGCGGATGTGGGTCGCTGGGCGTGTTAGCGGCTTGACTGCGTGTGGTAACCACCACCCCCAGCTGGGCGGGAGTGAAAATGGAGTCCACGATGACGTCCCATTGACTGGCATGCTGAGGGAAGTGCGACAGCCCATCCTCCAGCGAGTTAGCGGACCCTGGGAAATGGTGGAGGGTGAACTGGAATTTCGAGAAGAAATCAGCCCAACGCAGTTGTTTTGCATTAAGACAGCGGGGCGATTTCAGAGTCTCTAGGTTCTTGTGTTCCGTCCACACCTCGAACAGAACTCTCGCCCCCTCCAGCCAGTGCCTCCACGTCGATAACGCAAACTTTATTGCGCCCGCCTCCTTCTCCCATACAGACCAATGTCTTTCTGCCTCCGAGAATTTTTTGGAGATGTAAGCCAGCGGGTGCAACAGCCCATCCTCCCCCTCTTGAAGGATTGCCCCCCCCCCCGGCCACGTCTGAGGCATCGATTTGCACTATGAATTTTTTGGACTCGTCAAGGTGAGCCAAGACGGGCTCGGAAGTGAAAAGTCCCTTTAAGCGTTGGAACGCCTCCTCGCATTCTGCCGACCAAGCCAAAGGGGCCCCAGGCCACACGGCATTCAGCCCCTTCCC